CTTGACAGTGGTAATTTAAGAGTTTATTTCTTGGATTTATGTTTTTCTCTATTCAGCCTCATTCTAACACCAGCATTTTTAACCAAAATCATAGAGATTATTTTCTTTGTAAATGAAGGAGTTAAGATTCTACAGTAGAATTTATGCGTTGTGCAGAGAATGGCTGCTTTAAAAAAAAATCACTTTTAAAATTAATGTTCCTGGAAAACAATTTAAAGGGCCATTTTCAATTAATCTTTACCTCTGGTTGCCTTCTTTTTTTAAGTCCACGAACCCTAATGAAACATTTTGTAGGGACAAATCATTTTTTCCCACATATATGTGTATGTGTTTTTATATATTGTGATGCTTATATAATTTTACCATATGGGAGAGATCTCTCTGAAATATTTTTGATACTCCAGAAAGGCAGTATGACGTAGTACAGTGGTCTCCAAATTTTTTTTATCACACTGTTACAGTAAAAAAAAAATTGTGCATACCTGAAATGTTTATTTACAAATTACAAACTTGTACTCTATCAAATTATGTACATTATAAAACTTACACAGAAAAGGAGGAGGTAGAAATGAAATCTCTGATACTAGAGCCAGCAGGGAGCCACTAAGTTTGAATAAGGGAATAACATGATCAGACAATTTAGGGGGGAAAAAATCAATGGGGGGAGCTGTGTAGACAACAGTTTGACTGAGGCTTGAGGTAGAAAGACCAAAGACGAGATTGTTGCAGTGGTCCAGCCAAGAGGGTCTTCATTAAGATGGTGGTGGTAGAATTAGAGAGGAGAGAGACGTGGAGGATGATAAAGTAGCTGAATGACAAGATTTGTGAACTGATTATTTGGGGTGACAGAAAGAACCAAGGCTAAGGCTGTGAACCTGTGTGATGTAGAAAGATGTTGATATGCTCAAGAAAAATAGGGAAGGTGAGGAAAAGGGCAAGTTTTAGAGGAAAGGTAGTGAGTTTTCTCAAGTTTAAAATGCCCTGGAGCTCACAGCATATGTATGTGTGCACATATGTGCATGCACCCATGTGTGTGTATGGGTGGGGGTGGGGAGGGCGGCCAGAGAGAGAGAAAATCTGAAATCTGAGTCACCTGCATAGGGACAAAACCATGGCAGCTGATGAAGTCACCCAGTAAGAAATAACAGAAAGAGGCCCAAGGACACAACCTTGAGGTACACCCAGTGTTAGAGGACATCATGAATGATGAGCCAGCAAAGGAGAGCGAGCGGTCAGCGCCGCGACAAACCAGGGAGAAAAGCGTTCAAGAGTAAAGGGTAGTCAACGGTATCAAATGCTGCAGAGATTAAGAAGGATGAAAATGGAGAAAAGATCATCAGATTAACTGAAGACAGCAGTTTCAGCTGAGCTTGGCATCAAGGCTAATAAGGCTGAGAACCAACCTGCAAATTGGAAGGTTTGTAGAGCCCTACTCAGAAATAAGTTCAGAAGAGGGCTGTGTTCTTTGGGGGGAAGATGATGTAATTGCAGTCCATCCATGCCTATTCATCCTGTATTATTCACTCCCACTAGAAAATGAAGAAGCGGTAAGGAGCAGAGAGCTTACTTACTATCCACTACCAAAGTATGCACAGCTCATCACTGCAGTGATGGAGATCAGGTAACGGGGAATCTGGGAAAAGGAGTAAAAATTTGCAAGCATAATTTCTACAGTGGCTGGGTCACGTTACATTATATACTTCCCACTCTGTGGGACTTGCACTCCACTAGACAAACCCACCCTTAGGTGTGGGGGGACAAATGGAGACAAGCTACTCCCTCCATTCCCCATTGGTTATTCCCATTGCTTAAGGTCAAAGTCACTCCTTTCTTGGGGTTATCCTATATCCCCTCCAGGGCCTCTAACTTCTACTTTAAAGACTACTGGAATAACAGATAGAATAGTGGACCTGAAAGTTGAACAAAGGTTCTAACCTTTCCTCAACTTAATAGCTAGGGGACTTTAGGCAAGTCATGATTTCTCCGAGCCTCAGTTTTCTCATCTCTAAAATGAGGATAAAAAGCAGCTACACATTTTGTAAGACTGTAAGAAGCAAATGAGATAATATACATAAAATACTTTGTAAACCTTAGAGGACCACATAAAGAAGCTATTTTTTTTTTTGGCGAGGCAATTGGGGTTAAGTGACTTGCCCAGAGTCACACAGCTAGTGAGTATTACGTGTCTGAGGCTGGATTTGAACTCAGGTCCTCCTGACTCCAGGGCCAGCGCTCTATCCAGTGCCCCTAAAGAAGCTATTGTTATGTGAAACAATATCTGACTTTCTGGATGACAGCATCACCATTATGAATAAGCTATGATCTTTTGCTGTCATACAGTGATGTCCCCTTAGGGACCTGGTTATTGATTCAGTTAACTCTCCTTAATACTTTATATTTTCCCTGCCCCACCTCTCAAACCTTAAATCTGCAACCTAAGGTGAAACCAGAGTTGGCAAGTCTCATTCAATACCCTCCCCCACTCCCTCTCCAAAAGGAGCTGAAAATAGAGAACTATGAAAGTCAGAAGAGAACTCGGAAATCCACCCAAAGATGATCCCTGGCATTTTTTTTACGTGTAGTTTATGGCCAAAATTGTTACCAAAATCCATCAGTTTTTGAGGAGAAGCTATTCAGAGATGAATCTTGCCCATTTTTAAATCATAAAGAGTCCCTGTACTTATCACCCAAAATATATTCATGAGATATAAAGCACTCCAGGTGGGCAAAGAACTGCATTTCTTGGGGCTCTATTAAGCCACACGAAGGTAACAGTCACAGAACAAAGAACAAATGCAAAAATCATCCTATTTGCTTTAGGCTTGAATTATAAGGCCAAACAAAATTAGTTTAACACTAAAGCATACCACTTCGTATCTTGGATTCCCCCAAGATCTAAAGCCAAGGAAGAGAAAGAGTCGCATGGACATAAGGAAAAATGTAGTACTGATTAAAGGTAGGACTCTTTGGGGCCTTGATGGGGAAAAAAAAAACCAGCCACCTACAGTTGCTAGCATACTGGGATGGAAAGAAAATGTTCTTGGTACTAACAGACACCTCATTTTTTCCTTATCAAGGTACGTAATGAAATTACTTAAATTAATTTAAAGTTCCAGTCAAAATGCCTAATAATCACTCGACTCTCATTCTGAGAGTTCTATGGTGCCTCATGCATTATTATACTAGCAATGCTGCCACCTAGTGCTCAAAAATAACTACTGTCTGGAAGACGTGTGCTTTTTTAAATTTAGCTAGCAAAATAAAATAGCTTCTAAATGAAGACACCTTCCATAAACTTCTAGATGCTCAAGCTGAAAGCATAACTACCCTTTGAAAGTGTCAACCATGAGATGTGTCCTTATTCTGATCAACCTTTCGCTCATACAGCCACACAAAGGAGTTATAAACCCAAAGATGTCTGTTAGTGCTCATTATTTGGGGCTCAGATTCACGAAATGAAAAGATCTCACAAAAGAGCCACGTTCCAAATCAATCATTGCCACAGCTTACAAACTCATCAGGTGTTTACTGTCAGAAGAGTCTTAGAAGAGGATAGCAATTAGGAGTGAGTGAAAGAAATCAAATGGAAAATGGATTTTTAAAAAATTAACTGGGCTAAAAATTTTTTTCAAGCAGCAAAAAAAAAGGTCAAAATCAGCAAAGCGGCTGAGATAAATACCAGTTTTGTGCAGGGTAAACATTTACTTACCCATCTTTCTAAAGCTATCAAGGTCATCAGCAAATCATCTTTTATTTACAGTCTTATAAAAAGCTGCATCTTGTCTTCTCTACAAGAACGGGCAAAATCTTATTGATTTTGGACAAAACACTTTCCAAAATCTATAAACATGGCCTCAGAGACATTTCCTTGCTATCAGAGGATCAGAGATTGATAGCTAGAAGTCATCAAGTCCAACATCAGCATTGTACTGATGAGGAAACTGAGGCTGAGAGGTGAATTGCCTAAGATTAAACTGGGAGTACCCAAAGAGGAATCTGAACCCCAGTCTTGACTGTAAGCCTAGCACAACACCCACTATATCAAGCTGCCTCTTTCTAAATATGTTTATCTTTGATCCATGATCATAAAACTATAGACCAAGAGCACATGGACTTTGGAAGCCGGCTCATCCAAATCCTTTATTTGACAAATGAAACTGAGGCCCAGGGAAGATTTACTAGGGTCACACAAGTAAAGGTATTCTTTGCCACTGCACCACTGCCTCCCATTCTAACTGGTTGTGTACATCAGTTATCTTTTATCCAAACATTCTTATTTAAATTATCTTACTCCAAATGACAACTCTAATTTTTACACTTTCACCATCATGATTCCTACCACTTCACTCCAACCTCAGAAAAATATGTAATGAATGGAAGGTCCCTCCAAATACACAAACCAAATACACATACGTTCACTCTCTAATCCTATCCCCCAATTTAACAGAAGCATGCCTTGCCTACATGTGTAGCCAGTATAATCACTGGGATATCAAGTCAGTTAAAACATGAACCAACATGCTGTGCACTTGAGGGAACCAATTGGGTATAGAGGCAGCTGGTGGCTCAGTGGAGAGAGTGCTGGGCCTGGAGTCAGGAAGACCTGAATTCAAATCCAGATACGTCCTAGTTGTGTGGCCACGGGAAAGTCACTTAACTTCTGATTGACTGACAAAAAGATCCACTGGAGAAGGAAACGGCAAAATACTGTTGTACCTTTCAAGAGAACCCTATGGACAGGTGCGGTCAATGGGGTCCCAAAGAATGAGACACGACTGAATAACAAAATGCATTGGGTATATGAGTATGCAGTGCATGCACTCACCGGTACACTTAGTGCCAGTAAAAAGATAAGAAAAAGCCTACTAAAAAGAGAATTGAATTGTCCACTGAATTGAAATGTGATGTTTCCAATCACTTTGTTCCAAGTTTTATTTTGAAATTACATGGGCATTTAATCCTCATGCATACTTGGTTACTCTAAAAAGTAGCCATCTAGCTCAAATGTAAACACTGAAATCTTTATTTCAGCCAGTCATTTTTTCCATTTCAAAATCCCAGAAACACAAAGTTAGAGAAGTCAAGCAGTTTGATTTGGACTGTACAGCGGAAGGTAGGAATTCTACAGGAATAAATCAAACACCACAAAGAAGTCTATGGCGATAAGTCTGTATTTACCATTAACATGTGAAACAAATGGTAGGCTAGGCACTTCTGTTCCATGACCGGAACAGTCCCATTAAGTAGGTTTGAGATTTGTGCATGAAACTTAAAATAGAAAAACTTCAAGGTTTTCCTAAGTCCCCCAAATGGGCTTTTCTTCTAACGGCTTTTTATCAAGAGTGTTGCTTCTTAGCCCCAAAGCTTTCATTTCATGTCAAAGGTTTCTTGAGATGCCAAGCCAGAAAAGACCTTAGAGATTATCCAGGTAGAGCCCGCCAATCATTTTCAGGCCTTCTTTATGAAACTCAGAAGTTCCTCCTTGTCCATCTGGTAGCCACTCTTCTTCCACTGTTCTCGCAATTGCTGTAATATTAACCCAATTTCTTTTCCTGAAGAAATACCAACTTTTCTTACATCATGGCCACTGACAGGAAAAGGAGGGATAGACCACTGTTGCATTTCCTTGAGAAGACCTGCCTCTCCTTGGTATTTGAGCAGTTCACAAATTCGAGTAAGTATATCAGGTTCCCTAGACTAAATCCAAAACAAAGAAAACGAATTTATACATGGAGCAAAATGAGTACATTTTTAATAATTCCAGCACTGGAAAATACCACCTAATCCAACTCCCACTCTTCCTATTTACAAATGAAGAAACCAAGGAGCAGGAAGGTTAGATGATGTATCTGAGGTATAAAGCTAGATAATGGCAAGAGTGGCACTGAAATTTGGGTCTTCTGACTGTCAACCAAGCATTTTCCCATTACACCACAAGTATTTGCTTGATGTGAGAATCTTCTGACTAATGGGACAAATAAGAAGGACACAGTACTACGGGCAAATGTACTGGATTTGGACTCAGGACCTGGGTTTGAATCCTGGCTCTGCCACTGACACCACCTGGGAAACTTCCCCTCTTTGAGGCCTTGGTTTCCTTATTGGTGAAATGAAGAGGCCAGATTAGATGATCTTCAAGGCTCCTCCCAGCTCTAAATCTGTGACACCGAGATTGCTAGGCTCACCCTCACATTCACAAAACATCTGTTTCTGCAGTCACAGATGCTGAAGATGTATTAAACAAGAGCAGTCCAGTCCCCACTCTTTACAGATGAGAAAACTCCAGCCCAGCGTGCTCAGGCCGTGTGCTGTAGGGTTCACAGTTCAATGGTGAATTCAGAATCCAGCCCTCTCCACTACCCCCATTTCTGGGGTTTTACTGTGTACCAATCATCCCTGCTGTGACAAATTGTGTCTAAAGTAAATAAAGCAATAGGAAAAGAAAGCCCCAAGTTTAATCTCTTAGTCACTTTTTAGAAAACCCTAAGTGGCAATAAAACCTGGATTTCAAGAAGAATTCTCACTAAGACAACCAAACACATCAGTATCACGTACTTACGTCTAAAACAAAATCTTGATATGGTTTCAGTGGTTCTGAACTATCAGCAGCTTTAGTTAAATCTCTCCTATATTTCACTATAAACAAGCCAAGATTTTTTTCTTCTTTTGCAATCTTCAATCTCAAATCAAGGTTTTTAACATCATCCTGTACTTTGAATAATGAGGCCAAAAGAGTCATTGGCTTAGGAGAAAGCGTTTCAACATTTTTGCTGACTTTGTTAAATTCCTCTAAACTCCCAGCAGCAGGCAAACCTGTAGGGGAGAAAACAATTGTGTTTTAAAGGCATAGATTAAATGAACAAAAATATTTATTTCCTTGTCAAAGTATTATACTAAAAAAAGGTTGCAAAAAGATACAATAATTTCCTCTACAGAAATGCTGTGCCTGGTCAGACCATCTGCATGGTAAAGGATTCTCTCTAACAGTGGCACCAAGAAAAAGAGGGGAGAGCGTTATCCTTTCTGTTACGATAATCTAAAAAAAGTTAGGGGATACAGCCCAATATCCCAATTTTCCATAAAAATTCATAATGCACTGGAGAAAGAATTACAGAAGGCAGAATGAACTGCTTTCAAGAAACTGCAAAAGCTCCTTCAATTACACCAAAGTACTCCCAGAAACAAAGGCCCATTTCTTAACAGCAATATTCTGTCCGTGTTATTTTGAGACCTAAAAGAGTAAGCACTGAAGACCTGGAAAAGAATTTTCATATAGAGGGCAATGGAGAGGCCTAGAGGGGGTGTGAATAGGCTGCAACATCTGACAGATGAGGATGTCACCAGGTAAACAGGATAGTCACATGGTGAGGTCAAGGAATTATGGGCAGACAGCCTGAGTGCCCCACTTGTATCCTCAAAAGGTCAGGAGAAAATGAGGAAGGCCTCATGGACCCTGGTCTTGCCTTTATGAGAAGACATGGACAAGAACTGCACAGGCTGGGCAGACATGGATGGCTGGCGAACTTCACTGATGGTGGAAACGCCCAAACCGGCACGCCATGGGACAATCCGTTAGGTCTGTGATCAGCTAATTGTCTAAACTGCTTTCTGAAGCATGCCTTTTGTTTTGTCTATTCCCCAAGTTCACTACACATAGCAATTACACAACAGAGTGTGTATAATAGTATGACTTGCACCTGTTTTTCTGAAATGTATGTTTTTCACACTTCTATGAGCGTCACTAAATCCACAGTCTACTAGGACACGCTTAACATGAATTCACTCTGGCCATATTCCAATGTAGCACCTCAAGCCTGCATCTTTCCAAACCAAAAGTCCTAATTTTTCAGTCCAACCGGAGACTTCCCTTCACTCAATTCCCCTGATTTCAGATGCTCACATCTGGAAGATGGCCACCACTTTCCTGAGGTACATCTCCTTTAAATGAATACAGTAATAAAGAAAGAGAACAATAGTAGTTTTATGCAAGGACGCCACCATGTTCTGTACTTTATTTCCAATAACCTTACTAATGACACCTAACATGTTAATTTTCTGGCTGCAGAAGAATATGCTGACATCTTTTGGAAATAGCCCGTAATGGCTTCCACATCTCTTCCTTGGCTCAAAAAGGACAGCAGAATCCATTAGCTATCCATGTTCATTATTTTTCTCTACATAAATTACTATTTGCCCACATGAAAGCTCACCTGATACCCTTACCCTCATTTCTGTAGCCTCACGAGATCTTCTGCAGTTTAATTCCCATCACAAAAACCTAATGCCTTCTAGACAGATCTAGATCACTGTGCTCTTTCCCGCCCCATATTATAGAAATGGTGGGATCAGTTCTAACAGTTCACATCTACTAAGTACCCAATGGATCCCTAACCCATTGTTTCCTGTCTCGATTTCTTTTCCTATCTTGACAAACTGTTCCCCTCCCATAATTCTGACTTTTTTCCTTCAATAAATATTCTTGGTGTGGAATGTTCTTGGAGGCCTATTTAAAAATCTAATTTCAATTACTCCATTTTACTCAAGTGTCTATTTATTCCTTCCAGAATAATCAATCCTCAGAATCACAGGACATAGGTTTGACATGACCTAGAGATCTAATAATTATCACAACAGACATTTATACAACTTTAAGGCTTGCAAAGCACTTGACAAATTATTTCACTTGTTCACAAGTGAACATGGGATTCTATAGATATTATTCGCATTTTACAGAGGAGGAAACAGAGGTTCAGAATGGTTGTGACTTATTTATGCACATATAGAGAGCAAGCGTCAGAGACAGGGTATTTAATAAATACAGGTCTCTCCTAACTTCAAATCCAATACTCTTTCTGCTACAGCACATTGCCTCTAATGGATCGAGTCAGACATGACTTTTCCTTAGATTTTTAATTTTAAGTTACAAAACACAAAAGTATCATGTAATTCACAAACAGTACTCACCAATGTAATGAGCCACATCAAGATCATACATTAGATGAACCAAATGATTTGCATGGTTACCAACAAGAATTTTTTTCAGTTCCACCCAAATCCTCTCTCCAGAAATTCCAGCCAAACCTTTTGCATTTTCTTTAATTGCTTCCAAAGTCTTTGAATCATGAGAACCAGATCTATCTGCTATTCTTCCATAAAACCTACAAAAGAAAGTTCCCACATGTAGTCAAGGTTACCGTAAACCACATGCATAATGAATTTTATTTTTAAATGTGTACTAACACTATTATTTTTATGTTTAATTAAGTGGCGGCAAAGAAAATCTCAGTATCCATAGCAATAAAATGTGTCTACTCAAATGCATACACTATGGTTACCTCCTCTAGTACATATCTGGTTTAAACTACTCTTTTGCATCACTATGAATTCATGTAGCCTATTCTCAGAAAAAAAAAATCAGGCAAGAAGTTGGAAATAGGGCAATAGAATGGAAAAATTAAATAACAAACCTGCATGGCTTGATAATGTTGTTTGACGTTAAGATCAGACATACTGGTTTTTAAACATAAGGATAAAACACCTTACAAAGCCCAACATGAAATGATTTAATTCAATTTTATTTTTAGCTCTGAATCCTCTCCCTCCCACCTACCTTCCTTCCTATGAAAAAGCAAGAAATACGAAACCCATTACAAACATGTAGATTTAAGCAAAACGAATCCCCATACTAGCCATGCCCCAAAATACAAAAACACATTCCTCAATCTGTACTCTTTTCCACCATCTCTCAAGCATGCTTCCTGAGTCTTCTGAAACAGTGGGTGGTCATCGTGCTGATCAAAGTTCTAGTCTTTCAATGTTATTTGACTTTACAATATTGCTATTATTGTAAAAATTGTTCTCCTGGTTCAGTTCATTTTGCATCAGTTCATCTAAGTTTTTCCAGGTTTCTCTGAAACCATCCTCTTCCTATTTTTCTTAGAGCACTTTTCTTATGCCATCATATTCACACCATAATTTGTTCAGTTTTCCCTAACTGATGGGCATCACCTTATTTCCCAATTTTTTTGCTACGACAAAAAGAGCTGCTCTAAACAGTTTGTACATATGGATCTTTCTCCTCTCTTTGATTTCTTTGGGGTATAGATCTATATTGATGTCACCGGGCCAAAAGGCAAGCTCAGTTTAATAGCTTTCTGGGCATAGTTCAAATTACTTTGCAGAAAGGCTGGACCAGTTCACAGCTCAATAAATACTGCATTAATGTACCTCGAACATAAATGGTTTTTAAAATAATTGGTTTCTAACATTCAATCACACCATTGCTCTCTTCCATCAGTATGAATAATCAAGTTATTAGCTATATTTCATGTACAATCTCATGCCTTAAGAGTAAATCCAAATGGATAGAAAATTGGGACTCAATATTAAATTGTAAAAAATTATAATCATGAAATATATTTAGCATTTTTTAATCTAAGAAACGTTCTCCTAGCTCTAACATTTTTAAACTAAAAGATTTAAAAGAATGGAAAACAAGAGGTTTCAGAAGGAATCACAAACAAGCAGGACAGTTTTGAAAGTGATATGGTAAGTCTATTATATATTTGAAAAGCAATCACTACTCAAATAACAGAGGTTTGCAGCTTCACATATAAGGTTCTTCTGTTTAATGTATATGGAAATACTTGTCTTATTAATTTGTTCAGTTCAGGAAAAAAATAAATGAAAAAAGTTCAAGGAACTGAACTAATTATATGGTTAAGGTTGCAAAGGGAGGAAGAGGAAGTGAGAGCAAGAATAATGTCCTAAAGGAAATAACCTCAAGTAGCAATGGATGGATGGAAGGAAGGAAGGAAGGAAGGAAGGAAGGAAGGAAGGAAGGAAGGAAGGAAGGAAGGAAGGAAGGAAGGAAGGAAGGAAGGAAGGAAGAAGGGAGGGAGGGAAGGAGGGAGGGAAGGAAAGAGGGAGGGAGGAAAGGAGGGAGGGAAGGAAGGAAGGAGGGAAGGGAGGAAGGGTGGGAAAGGAGGAAGGAAGGAAGCAGGAAGGGAGGAAGGAAGGAAGGAAGGGAGGAAGGAAGGAAGGAAGGAAGGAAGGGAGGAAGGAAGGAAGGAAGGAAGGAAGGGAGGAAGGAAGGAAGGAAGGGAGGAAGGAAGGAAGGAAGGGAGGAAGGAAGGAAGGGAGGAAGGAAGGAAGGAAGGGAGGAAGGAAGGAAGGAAGGGAGGAAGGAGAGGAGGAAGGAAGGAGGAAGGAAGAAGGAAGGAAGGAGGGGAAGGAAGGAAAAGGAAGGAAGGAAGAAAGAAAGGGGGAGGGGAAGGAAGGAAGAGGGAAGGAAGGAAGGAAGAAGAAGAGAGGAAGAAGAAGGAAGGAGGAAGGAGAGAAGGAGGGAAGAGGAGGGAGGGAGGAGAGGAAGGAAGAAGGAAGGAAGGAAGGAAGGAAGGAAGGAAGGAAGGAAGGAAGGAAGGCGGGAAGGAAGGAAGGAAAACAAGGAACCTCAGTCCACCATGGGGCACAAATACTAAGATTATTTTTGCCTAGAAGACTATCTCTACCAGTGATGTCAAACTTGAATAGATATGGTGGCTAGCAAACCAAACATAAGGATGCCTGCAGGCCACATACTGACTTACAAAACCATATATTAACATTATCTGTGGGGTTTTTTGGTACTTTTATTTTGTTAAATATTTCCCAATTAATTTTATTTTGGTTCAGGCCACATTGGCGAGCTTTGTGGGCCATGTGTTTGATACCTGTGATCTAGAACACTGGTAAGTAACCTTTTTAAACCAGAACCAAACTAAATTTAGATTCGAAACAAGTGGTTAAACAAGTAAAATAACCCATCTGTTAAACTAAAAAACACACAACTTAGTATTATAGCTAACTGGCACATTAATAAAAGAAAGCCTGTGGTAACAACAGACTTTATTCAAAAAAATAAACCTTTGATGGGATTTTTATTATGCAATCTTTTTGCACATTTCTTTGAAGTTTGACATAACTAGTTGAATTTAGCCACATGCATAAATTTGAGCTGTTTTCCACAACTTTCAAATGCAAGCTGCCTTTTGATGTGATTCAAATAAAGGAAACCCTGCTCATACATGTAAATGGAGTCAAACAATGAAAGACCAAGCCTAGATTCTGAATAATACTGTAAATGACAGGAAGTTATTTCCAAGTTCCTTTCCTCCCTCCCTCCCTCCTTCCTTCCTTCCTTCCATCCATCCATCCATCCATCCATCCATTGCTACTTGAGGTTATTTCCTTTAGGACATTATTCTTGCTCTCACTTCCTCTTCCTCCCTTTGCAACCTCCTTCCTTCCCTCCCTCCCTCCCTCCCTCCTTCCTTCCTTACATTCACCTTTGTGCTGGGAGTTATGAGATCATTTAAAGTTTTGCCAGTTCTGCACACTGCTGAACAAGGCATGTTAAAACTGAATCCATTCAGTTTGATGTATCTTTGCACCTAGATAGATAATTCCTTGAAAACACATTATTTCTCATTCCAAACAGCTGACTGAGACGCCTGGCCTAACTATCAAATCCAGTTCAACAGATACTTCATGTGGATGATTCATAAACTTGAAAAGAACATTGTTTGTGAAAGGCCACAAAATGAGATTCAGATGCCATCAGCAGCTAAGACAGAAATTCAATGTGCTGTAGCAAATCAAAGATGCTATTTGGATTCTCTCACAATCACATTTTAGAATACTCAAAATCTTTCAAAATGCCAGTCTCTAGCTATCTTAATGTTTGTGATGAAGGCAGTCAATTCTGACTAAAATCCAAGCAGTCTGTCTCAGTGTATAATGTTTTTGCTTCCTCTTATAACCTGAGCTATGATTAACTTTAAATGACAAAGGATATATTACCGACTCATTTAAATGATCCACAATATAAAGGATACTTGAACTAGTTATAGTCTAAAGAGCTCAAAGCATTTAACATTTTAAAAGTTGTCAATCTCGGATCCAATTAATGCAGATACAAAAGAAGGAAAACGTTAGCATTTGATAAGCAGCAAACATTACTGTGCACTGGTACGACTCTGATTAAAGACAAGAATTAATTGGCAATCTGAAGAAGCGGACCCATTATCTCTGAGTTTGGTTCCGAAAGAATGCCCACAAGTACCTCCAAATGAACAATTAAAGTCCAAAGGAGAGCAGTTCAGTTGTGAGAAAAGTATAAGCAATCCTCTGAATTGATCTATTTTCTTTCCCCACTCCACCCCAGCCCCAAGAAATCTAAATGAAGTTTTAAAAACTAATCTTATTTTTAGAGATGCCTTTTGTTTTTACATTACATTCACCTTCAACTATAATACTCCACCAATATAAAACCACCCCGGCAAGCTAACCTCAGAAACAAAGATAAAAAAAAGGTCAGCAAAACTAACCAAACATTGGTCAAACCCATCTGATAGCACATGCAGCATTTAACTTCCAGGCAGTTCTCCACTCTTGCTCAAGAGAGTTCGAAAGAGAGATGCACTCACTATACATTTCTTACTCAGATTTTTGTTTTCATTAGAGGTTTTCAGCTGTCTATGTCCCTAAGGAAATTTTTCATTTGTTGCCTCAAAAATCATTTGTGTACAATGCTTCCACAAACAGACCATCCAAGAACAAATGATTGCTGAGATATCAAAGTCTGGGCCAAAGCACACCAAAAATAAGCTGTTCAATTCAATTTTTTCATTTGCTCCTTTTCAACCCACAGCTGCCATGACTGGGGTTTTAGGTTCAGTTTTATTTTCCAAGGTGTGGCCTAAACTTTCTGTAAGAATTTTTCCTTGTTTGATGGACTTCACATCAGTCTATGACTGATTCTTTACACCATGTGCCCTTCGGTGAAAGGTTTCCACCTCTTGTAAGGCTGTGTGACCCCATAAAATGTATGTTAAGCTTCCATCCTTTTTGACAGCACAAGCAGTTTCATTCAATATTCATTTTCCACAGCAGCCCTCCACAGGCCTTTCTGGTGCAGTTCCATTCAAGTATTCTGTTGCAAATTTAGCATATCTTGTCCTGAAACGCAGCTCTCCATTTAATTTAGGGATGAATGAGAAGGATGGGGGCCAGAGATTAACAATAATTTGGAAAAGGTCACATAGCTAAGTAGCAGAGCTGGTTTTTGAACCCAAACCCTCTAACTCCAAGTCCACCTGCCTATTGTCAACATGGATTTTCTGTTGGAAGGTTTGCACTACAAAGGGGAAAGAAAGCATGAGGCTTTGGGCCCATTCACAAAGGTAGACATATAAGAGCGTTTACTTGAAATTTTTCAGGACATATTTCTTTTCTTCAATTTTTACTAGTAAGGGTAATACCATCACACACTAGATTAGAAACATTTCTCAACCAAACAAAAACAAAAGGTTGATAATACAAGTAGGCAGAACAATTAATTGAATCAATCATCAAACTTGAGATTTGAAGGAACATCTTAGCTCATTTAGTTCAGTTACTTTTTAACACAGAAATCTTTCCCCAACTGATCATGCTGCCTCTAACTGAATCCTTCCAGGGACTTAAAACTCTATATGGCAGAAAGTAACAGTCTATTTTTAAACAGCTTATTAATTAAAATCAAACTTCCCTAAATTTCCAAATACTCACCCTAGTCCTGCTATCTGAAAAACCAAAATCCGCCTTCAAAATCCCACAATAATTTTTCAAGCCTTTTCTTCTTTAGCCTGCATCCACATCTTTTGCCCTTCATCTCTACCTCCCAAGAGATTATGTCAAGGTTCTTTCATCTTCCTTGCCATACCCCAACTCGACACTGGTCTTCTCAAAATGTGGGGCCTAGACTTGGATATGATACTCCAAGTGCGGTCTCACCAAGAGAGCACAGTAGAAACATCCCCAGTTTTGTTTTGGTTTTCTTTTTTTCCTAGATATTATGCTGCACTCTAAGATTACACTGGCCTTTTTAAAAAGCAACCACATCACAGTGATGACTCATACTGAAAAAGCATCCAACTAAAATTCCTATGTCTTTTCTACACAAATTTCTACCTAGCTACAACTCTCCTCTCCTACATTTGTCTTGGTCAATGTTTATTTTTGAAGCGGGGTGCAGAAATTTACAATTATACCTGAATAGTTTCATCTTGTCATATTCACCTCATCATTCTATTCAGATTCTTTTTGGCTCTAACAGGTTATTGCTTAATTGCTCACTTCCTATCACCTGCAAATGTTGATAAGCATGCCATCTGGGCATTCAGCCAAGTCCCTGACAAAAAAATACAGCACCGAAGGGTTGAGCTGCGGCACTTAACTCGAAGAGGTCACCTCCACATCAACATAGTCTCCATGTTCTCTGGCTTTAGTTCTTCATATAAGTACATTATTCTCTAACCAGAGGTCAAAAGGATCACAGACTTAGAGTTTTAAAGAACTTCAGAGATCATTTAGTCCAACTTCAATGAAAAAACGAAGTAGAGATTCTTCAGTGAGTCACATAGGGGAGTAAGTCATAGTCAGCATTCGAATCCACATCCTGACTAAATCCATTACACCACATTTTCCTGTCTTATTCAAAAAGGCTACCATGAGAGATTTTGTTGAATCTGTAGACTATTTTATAGCCCTACCATCATCTACCAGTCTAGATGACATCAATCTTTCAAGGAATTGGGTGAGTATGGCCCTTCTCTCTACCAAAGATCACAGCCCCCTCTAGAACTTAGTATGTGGTAGGTGAGAGATTTGAGCCTTTCAGGGTCACCAGCTTGGGGCCAGCCCAGCTAATCCTAGCTGATGGGCCTCTCTGAACTTAACTCAGCAGGTCCTTCAACAATATCCCATCACCAGGACACTAGTGCTTGAAGCTTTTCAGCTCCATAGCATCCAGCAAAATTTACACCCCCTTGAGAATCCCGCTGACACAATGGCAGAAAACTTTAGTTGAGCAGCAGCTGAACACTTGTTCAAATACGAAAGAGCTAAGTCTAGCTGGGCCACATGGCACTGAAACTGCCATAATTTCCAGGACATACCTTCTTCTCCCCTTTTAAAAATCAAGGTCTCTGCCTCTCTTCCACTTCCCATGATCACTCAGCTACCGCAAGGGAGCAATCATGTTTACAAATTTTCACTGCCATGGTCTCTAAGTCATCTTCCTTGTAGCATCTGACAACATCACCGAAAATATCACCTTTTCAATGTTGTGCTGACCTCTGAAACCTGATCAATATACCAGTGCCAAGGCAAGAGCATGGGAGCAATGTTCATTTTCCAGAACCCAGATGAGCATGCCATCATGAAACTGACGTATAATCCTGAAGTATTTCTCAGGGCAACCAAATTTGACAATTTTCCACAAGCCCTCACAACTGACAGTTATCAAGGGCCTTGGTCACATCATTGAATGTTTGTATAAAGACCTCTGTTCTACTCTTGGCATTTCTCCTGGAGCTATCAGGCAGCAAACACCATACTGACTGTTCCTCAGCCCTTTCTGAAGCCACACCGGCTCTCAGGTAGATGACCATCTTCCAGGTGATGGATCAGTCTATTAAGGAGGGCCTTCAATGAGGACAAACATGGCATCAAGGTCAGCTACCACAGTGATGGTAAATTATTTAACTTGAAAAGGCTATTAGCCAAGTCTAAAATGGAGGGAGAGGTGGTACGTGATTTTTTTGTTCACAGATGATTGTGCTGTCAATGCAGCCTCTAAAGCTAAGATGCAACAAAGTTTGGATCGATTCTCTGATGCTTGTGCTAATTTTGGCCTAACAATTAACATGAAGAAAACATAGGTTCTCTACCAGCAGCACCACACCATCCATACATGGAATCATTAGTTACAACAAATGGGGAAATTTTGAATACTGTGGATAAGTTCACTCGCCTTGGCAGTATAATTTCCAGGGATGTACATATAGATGATGAGGTTGATGCACACATTGCCAGAGCTAGCTCAGTGTTTGGGAGGCTCCAAAGGAACATATGGAAGAGAAGAGGTATTAGGCTGCCTACCAAACTGAAGGTCTACAGAGCTGTTGTGCTTGTCACTGCTGTATGCCTATGAAACCTGGACAATATACCAGTGCCATGGCAAGAAACTGAATTGCTTTCATTTGAATTGTCTTAGGAAGATTCTGAAGATCACCTGGCAGGATAAGATACCAAACAGTGAGGTCCTTTCTTGAGCTGAACTGCCAAGCATTCAATCTCTGCTTCAGAGAGTCTAATTCTAATGCGCTGGCCACACTGTTCAAATCCCAAAAGTACGTTTGCCTAAAAGACTATTTTATGGAGAACTTACACAAGGCAAGTGCTCATATGGAGGTCAGAAGAAGCAATTCCTAAACACTCTAAAAGTCTCTCTGTAGAACTCTGTAATTGATTGTGTGACATGGGAGACACTGGCACAGGACAGTGCAGCATGGTGAATCCATATCAAAGGAGGTGCTGTGCTCTATAAGCGAAGCAAAATTGCAGTAGCTCAAAAGAAATGTGAGATGCGCAAATTTAGGGCATCTCCATCCCAAACGTTTCAGTGCACTATTTGTGCCTGGCCTGTGGCAGAACGTTCTGAGCTCGTACTGGTCTGATGAGCCACAGTCAGACACACTATGCCTTGGCTCCAAACACAGTGACGTATTCTGGTCCTCTTCAAAAAGGAAGGACAACAACCAACAGCCATCCAATCAGCTTAGTGTACAGATACAGCCAACATTCCTAGAGGAGCGCTCAGATAGCAATCTGATCAAATACACAACTATTTAGTTACATTTATTTTACCTGAAATATCTCAAAATTCGAAGATAATCCTCTTGAATTCTCTCTTTAGGGTTTCCAACAAATCTAACTTTCTTATTTTTCAAATCTTCATAGCCATTAAAGTAGTCATAGAGGGTACCGTCAAAACCTATTGTGATAAGAGATTTTTCTTAGGACTTTTAACAACACAACACCCTAATATTTAAGTGACTTACCATACAATTGTATGAATTCAAAGTAGTAATTTGATTGGGGACTTTCTACTCAGAAAAGAAAGCACTAATTAGCATAACACCATTCACCCCCTACCGCAGAAGGAACAAGACGAGTAACACATCACTTCTTATGTGATGCTATCCTACCATGGCAAAGTCACTGGTATCACTGCAATGAAACTACTGTTTTAAAGTCTGGTTGTTTAATGCATTCCAAGTTTAAGTTGTTTAGTGTATTTTTTAAAATAATATTTTATTTTCCCAACTGCACATATAAACAATTTTTAACATTTTTTTTTTAAGTTTTGAGTTCCAAATTCTATCCCCCCCTCAGACGATAAGCAATCTGATACAGGTTACAGATGTGCAATCACATAACACTTAATGTCTGTCATTAAGCTGTTTAATGTATGTGAGTGTTCAATGTATTCCAAGGTAATATTCTGCTAAGTTTGAGTTCAGCTCTAAGCTTACAAAACTTAAGTTTCCTATCTAACCCTATACATGATGGTTATTAAGGAATCATTCAATGTAGATGATGACTATGATAGGCTCTAACTTCAAAGGGCAAAGAGATGGAGTTAAATAAGGGAGAAAATGACTCCCTTTCTTCAGTAGACAAACATGCCTAAACCAAAAGCTAGCTTTTAATAAAGTTTCGAATTAATATTAAGAAATTCAAATTGATTCATTTCCCTCAAAACTAGTCAAAAAGGTACAATTACAGTTAATTAGTGAAAAATATGCAGAATTATGGCTAAGTGTAGTTCTTTAAATCTTGCTGTGCATCAACTTCTTAAAATGCAGTAATTAGTAATATTAGTTATGATTATTATCATCTATTTTAATGCAGAATTTGATTTTTTGAAAAAGGATATCACAGAAAAATCATACTAATTTTTAAAGTTAGTTACACTTAATGGGAACTCAGGTTATTGGGTAATGAGGCCTTAGTAAAGCCTTACAATTGCCCACCTGATGGCAGCTTAGTAGAAATGTTGAAAAGTAGCTAGGAAAAATAAAATTATCCACACCTAGGTCAAAATCAATAAAAAGAGATCTAAGTTCCAGTACAACCTTTGTTACTTCCTAGCCATATGATACCAAGTAAGTCATTTAACTTGACTGAACCTCAGTTTCTTCATCTATAAAAAAGGGTTGATTTGCTTTTAATTTTTTTCCCCTTTTTTCAGAGATGGTAATTAGGAGAATGTCCTGAGTGCCAGGAAGAAAAGTGGCCTCTTTAGAGCTACTGATTTTTATTTATTTATTTTTTTAATGTCAGACTGAGGATCCCCAGTCTCTCTCCAAAGTGGTTTCTCCTCTCTTATTGTTCTTACCTGGACCTAGTCAGGCTTCTTCTGCAGGATTTGTCTTTATTCAGGTAGTATTCTATTTTGTAATGTTATAACAGCATCAGCCGACAGTGTAAAAACAAAAGACAAATTTCTACACTGTAAATCCTGATAATTACTTTAATTCTCACAGGATTGTTGTGAAGAAAGTGCTTCATATCAAAGTGCTCAAGGTGGCATGGTGTGGCAGCAAGGGCCCTGGGAGCTATCAAAGGACACTGGAACAAAGCCCAAATGTTCTCGCTACTGCTTGCAAAACTATGGGCTAAGAACCCAGTGTTCATAGACTTCAGTTTCTTCATCTTTAAAATGGACTGAATGAAGTCTATGCTTCTTTCTTGCTCTAGATGTCCTATTATAAAATAACTGTCAGAACAACACTACTATGTGCCTTAGAATGGAAGCAGGACAACTCAAGGGCAGCAGCACCACCAGCTGCTGTGTCCACAATCTACTCTACACTTTACTCTATGAAGCTCATTTTATTTAAGTGATGTTTAGGATAAAATATTTAGTTCTATCTTTAAAGACAGAGCTGAAGGCACAAGTCTAGGGGGCCCACCTAAACTTTAAAATAAAGTTTAAAAATATGCTCCAAAGTACCTGCTAAGCTAGATGTCTACACAAAAACTTCTACCTTTGTTGTTTGTATCTAATAAGAAACTTAAGGTTCTCAGTGACCTATTCTGTATATTTTTCTTTACTTAGAAAGTTACAACAGAATAAGAGACTTGGCTGCCTTAGAACACAGGGACCAGAGAGCCATCTGAATCATTAAGACCTGGTTTCAGGTCCTACCTCTCTGACACATACTGGCCTAATAATAACCTTGGGCAACCCACTTAACTTCTCAGTGTCCCCCCAGACAACCCTGTAAGACTGGGAAAACAGGGACAGTGCTGGAGCACACTGATAAAGGGAGCTTTCTAGACCCCAGTTTATGTCCCTATAGCAGCACTACCAATAACTACTGACATAATGATTAATGCTAAGCTAGATGTCCAGAGCAGAGGCTTCCTTACTGTGATCCCTGGGTATTCTGTCTCTACTTATCTATGTACATGCTATCTCACCTGACAGACTAGAAGCTCCTGGAGAGCAGAGACATGTTTGAATTTTCATTGTTAGTGCCTGGCACATAGCAGGCACGCCACCTAACTGAAAGTTCTGTGACAATCTTTCAGTCTCATGAATTACCTAAAAACATGGAGTTGATGGTGAGATCTCTCCGCTCAGCATCCTTCTGCCAGTCAGTCGTGAATTCCACCTCTGCATGCCTTCCATCTGTAATGACATCAATCCTTAGTGTCGTGATTTCAAAATTTTCTTCATGAAGCTGCAACAAATATGAATACAAACAGAAAGCTGAATGTAAAAATACAAAACAAAGCAAACAGCTTTTAAATGAAGCAGTAACTTTATTCATACAGGTTTATTTCGCCTCTCTAGTCCAATTGGCCTTCTTGGTGTTCCTCAACACGGCCTTCCACCAGCCATCTTCATGCTTTTGCATGGCTGTCCCCTAGGTCTGGAAGGCACTCCCTCCTCACTTCCCCTCTTAACAGCTCCCTAGTTTCCTTCAAAGCTCAGCTCAAATGCCACCCTCTACAAGGTTTTCCTCATTCTGCCAGCTGTTATTTCCTCCCTCTCCAATAACTGTTGTTCAGTCGTGTCTGACTCTTTGTGACCCTGTGGACCCTAGCATGCCAATACAGCCCATGGGTTTTTCTTGGCAAGGATAAGAGTGGTTTGCCATTTCCTTTTCAGTGGATTAAGGCAAAGAGAGATTAAATGACTTGCCCAGGGTCAGAGAGCTAGTGTCTGAAGCTGGATTTAAACTCAGGTCTTCCTGACTCTAGGTCCAGTGCTCCATCCACTGAGCCACCTAACTGCTTCAATTACCTTTTATTTTATATAATGTATGTACATACATATGTATGTGTGTATCTCATCTATGTATATGTTGTCTCCTGAGAGAATGTAAACTCCTTGTGAGCAGAGGCTATTTATATTTTTGCTTATGTATCCCTGGTACTTACTCAGTACAGCTTCTGGGACAGCGGAGGCTCTTTCAAGAAATACTTGTTAGTTGTCAGATCTATGAGCCCTGAGAATCTGATGCATTCCTAGTTTCTTTATAAACAAACTCTCCTGCACAGACTACACATTTTAAAATAAAAAACTAACCCCTGCCCTCTCAATCAAATAATGTATTACTTCTTTCTTTCTTTAATTATTTTTAGTTTTCATCATTCACTTTTTTAATATTTTGAGTTCTAAATTTTTCCCCTCTCCCCAAGACAGCATGCAATCTGATAAAGGCTACACATGTACCATCATATTAAACACAGTGTATTACTTACTTCTATGTAAACAATGAACCTGACACAGAATGGATTTATAAATACTCTGAAACTCACCCATGATTCCTCACCCTTGAAGTTTTCTCTGATGCCCCACCTAGTTGCTACCTACCTCTTCCCCTTGGGACTCACTAATCATGTTATTTTACATCTCCTCGGGCCCATCACTATAATTCGAAGGCAATCCATGGCATCTATTCATTTGTCTAATCCCACTCAAATTTATTAAATACAAAGGGCAGAGAACACTGGTACAATCTGGATCACACACATCTTCATCCATCCAAGTGCTTACAAATTAGTAGAGTATTTTAAAGTCTAATCAAGTCCAACTTCAAGATGGATGGGCATTTCCTAAATGGCCCATTCACTGGAAGCAATGCAATACTCGGAAGAACTCATAAGATTCTGTGGGTGTGAGTACTGCCTCCACCTCCACAGACTACAACCCCTCCTATACTGGAGGCCTTCTTCTGGAATTTTTATGGCTGAAGAAATGCTATCACCAGGTGCTCAACCTACTTACTGGTGAAGTGCCGAGGTCAGCTCTTTTTGCCAGCCTTTCTTGCTTGATAAAAGCCTTTCACATCAAAATGAGACACCAAAGTGAGACTTACATAGGAGTCCATGCAAAACTAAATATAAAATCCTGGTTCTACGCAATGAAAAAAAAAGAATCTCATCCTACTTCCTTTTTTTTCTTTCCCCTGAGGCAATAGGGTGAAGTGACTTGCCCAGCATCACACAGCTAGTAAGTGTCAAGTGTCTGAGGCCAAATTTGAACTCAGGTCTTCCTGAATCCGGGGCCAGTGCTCTATCCACTCTATTCATTATAGCCAAAAATTTTCCAACGATGATTGAAAGTCTGTTAGTATTCCTCCCTCTAATTTCCATACAAACATATCCAAATATCATTAACTGGTTCCCTGAAAACACTATAAACGAAACAACGGTACAAATTAGTTCTCATAGTAATGTTACAAATGAGCAATACAATCCCAAGCTGGGGAAGGAGAGATTGTGAGGCCATGAGGCTCAATATAAAATGTCTGTTCAACTGAACTGAAGCTACCCAGCTCAAGTGGGGCTAAACTGGTCTAAACAAAGAAGAGACAAGATGATGCTGGGGTTCAGAGACTTTTAAACACTATCAGTCAGCGCAACTGGGGGTGGGGCAGGAGGCTGAGGAGGGGAAGGGCACTATTTCTTATACAAAGTTCTTCCTGTTTTGAAAACAAAGGAATTATGCCACAGCTGTCAATCACAAAGAACTAGTCAAATCTTCACTCACTCTGGCGGTAATAGTTCCATGTTTTTCTCCTTTGTTATTGATCAGACGAATCCCAGCAGCCTGGAACATCTCTTTCATTTGAGCTGGAGTAGCAGTGGTAGCAAAGTCCACATCTTGTGGTTTTGTTCCATTTAATAAATCTCGCACAGCTCCTCCTGCTATTCTTAATTCATATTTTTCTTTATTGAATAACTCTGGAACAAAAACAAAACTTATTTTCCTCTTAAGTAATAGGGTTATAATGAAATTATGGAGGAAAGTAATTTAAAAATAAAAAGTCTTAAGTTCCTAAATACACATTAATAAGAATATTATTATTAGTAATAAAACAAAGCACCAGGAAGCAGCACAGATAAAAACCAATTATTTTTCAATTAAATTAATTATTTCTTATTATTTTCCAAGTTAAAAAATATTTTAATGTTGTCATGTAACCTTTTCTTTGGAGGAGGGGCAAATTTTACATAAGTAGGTTGCAATGGGCCATTAACTATTATATCTATGTTTTCCTTTTAAATATTAATCCACATTTAGGTATCCCTCCATAAATATTACTTATAATAAGTTTCAGGAGTAAAGGACCACCATTCAGAAATGTTCATTAATGATTTTTTTAAAAGTCTAGGGGAAGTCATTTAAGCAAGTGCATTTACCTATTCATCTCACAGTGAAATAACCCACTGGTTTTTTTATTAAAAAAACAAACAAACAGCAACTTTCTCTAAGGGTATAAAAAACAATCTTCCTTCGGATAAATTCATGATAAGTTGAGAAATTCAATTTATGTTTTAGAATTAAAAAACAAGTAAGCTGACCTTACTTTTCTGTCTATATATACACAGGTATAGGTAAAGAATTATAAGTGCTAAAGCCAATTTCTCACGATGAACTAGCTAAAATAATTAGGCAGGTGATGTTAATATGAAGTTAATTACAGCAGAGAAAAGTAGACCTAGATCTCAAAATATCCCATTCAGATATCTGATTTGGTCATGAATTATCTATTTCAAATAAAAATGACAATGTGAATATAAGGAAACTAATTATTAGAGTGCAAGGTCCTTTAGGGTAGGTGCTATTTTTCATTTTGTCTTCAAAAAAGAGAAAAAATAGAGAAGGGAGAGAAGTGTTGTGTTTTCACACAACACACACAAGGTGTGTTGTGGCAGCATCATCTCAAAGAACTGGGAGTCAGACCACCTCCAATCCAAGTATAGCCATTTATTAAGAACTGATGCCCCTCATAGGTGAGCTAGGTTCCAAGAGGAACCAGCAGCTTCAGAGAAAGCAAAATGGATTTTTATAGCTTTAAGATGCCATTACACAACAGAAATTATGAATATTAAAAAGGCAGGAGGGGTTTGTTGAAGGATTAGGTAATGGGAAGGGGTCCTTTCTATGGTTTGGGGGTCAGACATTCTGGTTGTTCTGCTTTCTGATTGGCTAGCTATTGTGGTCCTATCTGGTAAAGATCCATAGTTAGGTATTGTGGTCCTGTCTTGGGCTAAATGGATGACGTGATCTGTGGTGTGGTTAAAGCCAGATTATATGGTTAAATAAGGTCATTGCCTGCTGTTCAGTGGGACCCATAAGGAAGTTAGAATATTGGGGCTGGGGGCAGCTTTATTAGGATTCCATCAGAAGCATCATGGCCGAGGGAGGTGACTGGCCCACTGTACATTGCTCTGGTCAGAACACATACACAATATTAATACACTCAGTTCTGGATACCACATAGAGGAATGACAAGAGCATACACAATGGTGAGAAGTACTGAGATACTGCCATACAAGATCAGGTACAGGAAATGGGGATATTCAGCCTGGAGAAAATCAAGTGGGGGTATGAGGGGAGGGAAGACTAGCTTCAAGCATTTGAAAGGTGGTCCCAGGAAAGAGAGATTTGATTTTTACCACCAGGTGTCAGACGGCAAAACTAACAGTAACATACTGAAGTGGCATAGTAAATAAATGCTGGATTTGGAGCCAGATTTTTTTATTTGAATCATGGCTCTGCCACTAATACGTAACCTTAGATAAGACACTGAGACTCTCTCTGGACCAGTTTCCTCAGCTGTAAAATAAGGGCTGGATTACATGACCTCCAAAGCCTCTTCCACCTATAAATCTATGTATGATCCTAAGGAGGTGGAATGTGGCATATTTTGGCCAGAAGGAAAAACTTCCTGAGAGATGAAGTCATCCAAAAGTGAAATGAAATGCTTCAAAACTGAGTTTTCCCCCTGGAAGTCTTTGACCAACCACTGAATATGCTACAGAAGATATAACAGGCTTCTAAGGTTCTTTGCAAGGCTTCTTGTGTGCTACTGAGACAGCCAAGGGCATAGCTGAAGCCTCATCTGCCCACAGGAATCCAAATCATTCTCCACAATGATCCTATCCATATGGGCATAAACTCCACCAACACACTAAGGAAGCTGACTTCACAGCCAATTTATACTCATGATTTTATATTTTCCTTGATCAGATCAAATTATTAAAAGTTGGCTAGGACACTAGAAATCTGCATTTAATTCCATGTTCCTTAATTCAAAGGAACCAAACCTAAAAAGGGAAATCCTGATCTCTTTACCTGTCAGGTTCTTTAGTCCTTCTGTAAAAAGGGACTGAAATTCCGGTGACTCTACTTTCATTGTGAATAGATACTTCTTCAAAAGGGAGACTCTACTACAACTGCAGGAGAGTAGTGTTCTATGTCCCAAGAACAGATTCCCCAGCATCTAAAGAAAAGACATGCCAATGACCCTCAGTGAGAAAAAATACAAAAAGATACTACACATATGATGAGTTAGATTCACAAGGTTTTTACCCAGATGTACACAACTGTTGAATTATTTAACTATGAAGGAAATGGAGGAAAAAAATTAAACTTTTCTTCTACCAATAGAAACTAATCATCCTTTCTAGATTTGAGGCAGGGGGAGTGGATAGAATGCTGGGAATAGAGTCAGGAAGTCTCATCTTTGAGTTCAAATCTGGCCTCAGATACTTATTAGCTGTGTGATCCTGTAAAGTCACATAACCTTTTTTGCCTTGGTTTCCTCATCTGTAAAATGAGCTGGAGGAAAAAATCGCAAACCACTCCATTATTTTTGTCAAGAATACCCCAAACTAGGTCACAAAGAACCAGACACAACTGAAAAATGACTGAAAGATTTTGGGCATTGATAATTTTAAAACAAAAAAATGTTCATTTCTTGGGCTCCACATTTTCTCACTAATTGCCCACTTTTACAATCTCACTAAGCTAATTCATAGGTGTTGGACTACAAATATGATCATCTTTTAAGTTCTGCTTTTCTTTTTCTGATATTTTTCTCCCCATTCTACTTTGTTCACTGTTCTGTATTACAAATCCACTCAGCCCACCCCTTTCTAAAGACACTGTCCCTTCCTTTCATAAACTTTCTCTTTCCCATTTTGAGCCTCTTCAGTGCCAGAGAAAAACCGATTCCCTTGGGGCCCTAGGGGCAACTGGCCACAAAAGAACCAAGTTAATTCCTCAGAAAGTAATGTTTCTCAATGCTTAGTCATGTTTCTTTTACCAAGCACGAGTGTTAGGAGAAACAGGGCTTGCCTGTTTCCTTATGATACTTTCTTGCGGAAGCAGCGGCATGTGAGGTAGATCCAGACTGGATTTGGAGTCGGAGGACAGAGGTTCCACTAACTATCTCTGACACTTCCTCCCTGCGTGACCTCGGTGAAATCACAACCTCTCCAGCCTCAGTTTCTGTAACAAGAGGGAGATGGATTAGATGACCTCTAGGGTGGCTTCCAGCTCTAGTTATAACCCTAGGATCATTTAGCCATACCTAAAGAGGCAGGGAGGCTTAATGGATACTGAGGCAGTCTCTGCCTCGGGCAGACCTAAGTGCAAGCCTAGCCTCCAACACACAGCGACTCTGCAACCCTGAACAATTTGTCACCTAAACACTCAATGCCTTCTGTGGCCAATAAACTGCAAAGCAGACGGCAATGAGCATTAACAGCGGAAGTTCTCCATACCAGGGAAACCAGACGGGTTCCCTATCATCCCTAAAAACAATACTGCCGACCAGCGTAGGTTAAAGGAAATTCCCCAGAATGAATCCCTCTAACAATATCGGCTAGCACTTAGACAGCTCTTGGATATCTGCAAAGCGCTTTACAAATATCACTTCATTTGATCGATCCAACTACCCTGGGAGATAGGTATTCTTATTGTGCTCACTTTACACAGGAGGAACCCAAGGCAGGCAGAGATCAGATGACTTGCCCGGGGTCACACAGATACACCCCGAATCTCTCCAAGGAGAGGCCTCCAGAACGCGGAACGCGCCCGAGACACCAGCACAACAGAAAAGGAAGGGAGGATCAATAACTACGGCAGCCGGCTTGGGGCAAACCTCAGGGCTCCTGGGACGGACGCGCATGCGCAGCAAAGCAAGTTCCGCTACAGCCGCGGACCCCTAGTGTCCAGGGTTGGGTTTACTCCAAAGTCCCCCTCAGAAATCACCTCCCTGCTCCCCGACCTCATTCCCCACCCCCTGCTACCCTCGAGGGGCCAAGAGCCCCGGCCTGGCCAATTGCTGCTCTCCATCTCTCCCCCCGCCCCGGCAAGGCAGCGATGGTAATAGCCGGCCCGTAAGACCAACGGGCTTCCTCGGTCTCCCCAGCTCTTCCCAGGCCGCCCGCTTTCCCAAGCTGTCTGGGCCCAGGTGCGTGGGACTCGGCGTCCGGGGCGCCTGCGGCCACTCCACGACTGCACGTACGCCCCCGCAGCTTACCTGGACGTCAGAAGCCGGGCTCCGCAGCCCGCCGACACTCACTTCCGGGAGCAGAACGTCGACGTATGCGGACGTATCGTCGTCGTCGTCGTCCCTGGCAACAGCCTTGGCGTCCCCACGTGGTGAGGCATCCTCGAGCCCCGTGCTTGGCCAGCGCTCGTTCTCGAGCTCAGGCTTTGGGGCTTTCTGCCGGTCCCTGGAGACTTGGCCGTTAACTGAGGGAGGCTGTGCGTGGAGTGGCAGCCCCAGCCCTGGCGATGGAGTCCAGCCCCACCCCCTTACTAGCCGCGTGTCCCCGGGCAAGTCACTTAACCTCTATTTGCTTCGGCTTCCTCGACTGTAAAATGGAGATGATGATAACACCTACCTTCCAGGGTTGTGAAGATCAAATGAGAATCTATTTATAAAGCATTTTGCAAACCTTCAAAAGCGATAAAAATGATAGTTCTTTATTAATATTATAATGAATGTTAATAATAATATTACCTCACTATCGGGAGGTAACAAATTGAAAAGGAAAGAGTTGGACTTCTTTAGATGCTCCGCTGACCTCTCAACTCAATTAATCAGGAAATATTAAGCACTTACTGGATGCCCCAAATTCGGGTACCTTCTCCCCTTGTTTTCAATTGCGTTTTATGTATCGCGCATTATAAATGTCTTCACTAAATATGAACTCTTTGAGAGCAGGGATTGTGTTTCTGCTTGTATTTATTTCCCAGAGCTTTGGGTAGTGCTGGGCACTTAATGCTTACTTAAGCGCTTATTGACTTGACTAAGGGTATAACTTGAGATTACGGAATGACATATTCACAGATAAATACATCATATATATATATATATATATATATATATATATATATATGTAATATATATATATACATATATATATGTATATATATATATTACATATATATATATATATACATATATATGTATATATATATATATATTACATATAGCTTAAATATAGTTTCTTGGTTTCTGTGTTTCAAGGCTCAAGGAAACAGTTTAAACTGATGTGTTTGTTTAGCTAATCATTCCTCTTGTCTGGCTTCCCCTCCCCCCAATAAAATAAATTAATAGATATATGGTACTAATGGGGGTAGCGAGGTGGCGCAGTGGATAGAGCACTGGCCCTGGAGTCGGGAGGACCTGAGTTGAAATCTGGCCTCAGACCAAACACATAACACTTACTAACTGTGTGACCATGGACAAGTCACTTAACCCCAATTGTCTAAGAAAAAAGAAAAAAAATATGGTACTAATGGAAAGGTGTCATAGACGTCATAATTAAATAATAGCCTACTTCAGAAAGGTTGCATCTTAATTTTGGAAGTATTTTTGTTGAATTTTTAACTTGACTGCACCTGACACTTTATGACTTCACAGCACTTTACATCAAGCTTAACAGTGAAGAACAGGTTCAAGGGGTCATAGAATTTAGGGCTGGGCAGGATCATAGGGGTCATCTAGTCCAATGGTGTCAAACTCAAATATCAAGGGGCCACTAAATTGTACATAACAATCTCTGTGGTGGCATCTTGAATTGGAAAACCACATGTTAACATTATCTATATTCTATTGTATTTTTTAAATTTATTTTGTTTGATATTTCCCAGTTACATTTTAACCTGGTTCAGGCTGAACTCAGGAGTGTGCAGGCCAATAAGCTGGGTTTATGATACCTCTGAATTCTAGTCCAATCCCTCCATTTGAAAAATGGGCATAATAATAGCAACCACCTCCGAGAGTTGTCATGGGGGTAAAATGGGAATAATTGTAAAGTAAACCCCATAGAAATGTTAGCTGCTATCATTATTATTATTAATCCTAGGGATGTGGAAAAGGGGCCAGAGAGGTCAAAGAACTTGACTAAAGTCACAACTGGTAGTAATACAAATGGTCTTTAAACTACTTTAACCTGTGTCCAGTTTTTTCAGAAATGTTATTCCAGTGAGTTAATGAATAGTAAAGTTTTTTCTGGCAAACCCTATGAGGTTCTATCAGCTGATAGAATGTCAGCTCCCCACCCCCATTTTTTGCCCTTCTCAGCCCCAGCCCCCTGGGATGCTTGTTATTGATGGCATCCCAGATTGTGTCAAGTCAGTCATGGATAATTGAGAGTTGAATGTGGTCTATAATTCCAAGCAACTTTAATTCTTCTCCTGGCTGAGCACATGATTATTCTTTAATAAAAATAACTGACCGACCAAATCTGGTTAATTCAAAGTCTGTCACATTGCTTCATCCTTTGCATTTCACATTAAAGAAGTTTTACTGTAACTATATTTGCCAGCCTAAAGAATTATGTGCTTCTGTTGTTACTGTTTTCTGATGCTTTCTGGCAGCTGTCACTAGGGTTATGTGAAAGCCCTACAAGAGGTACCTAGAGAGTAAAGCCAAGGGTAGGGGTCTGAGGACTTGCAGCAAAGCCTTCTTATTAATAATTAGCTGCTAAAATACTAACAAAGCATTTGGTTATAAAACACAATCCGCAAGATATTTACTGATAGATACTACTTTTTACCATATCTTACATTTAGTATTTTGTCTTTATTTTTAGGGCATATAAAGTCTCTTTGCATCCTGAGCCATTCTTCTCTGTGGGTCTATATGTTCATTTGAGTGTAAAGACACAGGCAATAAAAGCATGGGATGAAAAGACCTCCAGGAATTATGATCTTCACTGCCATCAGCTCCGTAGGACCAATATTCTAATCTCCTCTCTCTATGCAAGTTTGTCTAGTTGTTTTTCTTTAAAAAGTCCTTGAGATTTGACTTAGGGGCCTACAGATGCTGACTACTGAGTTCAATTCATCACCTGAGTACAAAGCAGCCACCAGGAGCTCCAGTGATGCTTTGATGCTTGGCCCGTGAAGAGGGCCCACAACATGTAAGGAAGCATTAAATTTACTCATGGAGTTTCAACGTCTATCCGTATTGCCTATCCTTCTCTTACTATGTCTAAGCAAATCTCTTTTTGTTAACTATTGAAGGACCTATACCCATCTCCTTTGGTCTCAGGATCAAAACCAAAGTACCAAGGGACTGGCTTGAGTCCGGTCTTGCCTAGAAAAATCACCTTAGTCTTATAGATTAGAACATAATGAGCTCATTGGAGTGGGGGATGGGCAATGCTAAAGAAGGGGGGGGGGAGTTGGCCTCTCATACTGCTTTTAGTGATGCCTCTTTGCCATTGAAGGGGTGCCATTGAAGGACCCCAATGGTGAGACAACATAAACTTAGGTATATCTTTGGAATTTTAGGACTGTCTAGCAAATATGATGAAGAAATTTGTTTGAGTTTTGTTTTGAATTTAGAATTTGAGAGACCAATTGTAATTTTGCCAATGCAAATTTTAAAATTACTTTTGTTTTTGGCAATTCTTTGGTGCAAGCCATAGGGGGAGATGCTTGGATGGCTAGTTCTTCCCAGGAGTCCAAAGCCATTTCTTGATCTGGGGATATGGACAAATGTTTAATTAGCTGAAGACAGTCAGGATGCTGCATCAGTCACTCTCATCCATGCATGTGAATTGTAATTCTCATTCTCTAGAGTTTCCAGTGATATGCCTTTGAAGAGCCCCAGAACTCAGGCCTCAGGAGATTTTATTTTCCAGCTCCAGCAGAAAAGTCGACTGCTTGTACATGAGAAAGAGAGCACATGTGCTGGACTAGAGGAATTTGTGACCCTGGCAATTCTTGTGTTGCTTTTTGTCTTTGCTCCAAGCACGAGAGGGCCGAGTTAGACACCAAGAGGAGTAGCTCTGAAGTGTTGCTGCCAAACAAACACAGGAGGGCAGTGGCTGCTCAGGCTCAAAGCAACCTTCTACTTAGCTGGGAAGTGCCAGGCATGCCATCGTTGGCCTGGATCAAGTCCTAGCAATCCCAGAATAATAGTGTTTGGACCTAAAGCAGCGCTAGAGAAGGGCTCAGGCCCTAGTAATGGCAGTTGACCCTGGCTAAGGGGCAGCAGACACAAACACAGGCCCTAGTGGGGCAGGTTAGGGGCAGCAGACACAGGTAGAAGTCCCAAGGGCAGCAGGCAGCAGTAATCAGTGGACAGAGATGAGGTCCCAGTGGCAGCAGACAGTGGATCGGCTCCCAGCAGTAGTGGCAGTCCAGAGGCATGAATGGGTATTGTCCTATGCAATGGAAAATGCATGATTACTGTAGTCCATTACTTCCTGGAATGTAGAAAGGATTGACCAGTGACCATTGTATATTTCCTCTTCAGGGAGGATGTGGAAGACCAAGGGGTTTCTATTATGGCAACAAGGGAGAGGTGAAAGTATCCAACTGGGCTGGGGAATACTAATAGGGCAACCATAAAGGGATGGCCCAAGTCCTGGATCTAAGTCATCCAGTCTATGTACTCGGCAATACCAAGTCTTTGCAGTTCACAATGGGTCTCTCAATGTAAAAAGGTGACCTTAGAGTGAAGCAGTAACAGGAGCAGCCCAGATGATGACATTTCCTGCCTTTTTAATTTTATCTGAAGCATAATAGATTCTGCTCCAGCCTCTTTTATTCCGTGTGCATGTGTCTCTATTTCAAGTGTGTTTCTTGTAAACAACATATTGTTGGATTCTGGTTTCTAATCCGTCCTGCTATTTGCTTGAACTTTTAAGAGGGAGCTCATCCCATTTACATTCACAGTCATGATTGCTAACTGTGCATTTTCCTACATCCTTTTCTGTTTTTCTTTCTCTTTTTGTCCTGTCCCTCTCCTAAAGTCTGTTTACTTCTGACCACTGCCTTCTTTTATCTTCCCTCTCTTTCAACATCTTATCTCCTTCCCCTCCTACTTCCTTGTTGGATAAGATTGATTTCTATTACCAATTGAGTATGTACATATATTTTCCCTTTGTGAACCAATTTAGATGTGAGTTTCAAGTATTGTTTGCCTTATCCTACCAGTTTTCCCTCCATTACAAAAGTTCTTCCTTGCAAACCTTTTATTCGAGATAATTTCCCCTGTTCTTCATCTCTTTCCCCCCTTATCCCAGGGCATCCTGCTTTCTTGCCTATCCATTTTTTTACATTATCTCAATATAATTGACTCATTCCCACGCCTTCTTTCTGTGTAGAATTGTCCTAACTGCCCTAATAATAACATTCTTAGAAGATTCATGTATCATCTTCCCACATAGGAAGGTATACAGTTTAACCTTTAGCAGTCCCATATGATTTCTCTTTCAAATTTACCTTTTTATGCTTCTCTTGAGTCTTGTTTTTGAAAGTAAAAATTTCTATTCAGCTCTGGTCCTTTGATGAGCAATGTTTGAAAAAC